ATCCGAAACTAGTTTCGGATTAGTACCTTTCCGAAACTAGTTTCGGGTAGGTTTCGTTTCGAGTCCAACTCTAATTTAGACACAATGGGTTTCAGAATAAATGATGGAACAAAATCAAGTACGTAAGAATACATAAACTACTCTATCGCTATCAACGATTTATTTATTTATTGAAAGTTATTATAAGAACCAATTTATAATTAATAAATAAAAATTCCCACGACAGACAATGGATGATTCATCAATATATGCAGAAAACCTGATTTAACTAGATACTTAGGCAACAATGTTAACGTTAGGAAAATTTTGATCAAAATGACTTCTGATAGAAATTTCCAATTTAAACAGCCTAACTATATATATAATACATCTTCATGCACTTTCAATGGCTCACGCATTTCATAACAATTAAGTTTATTAGGTAAAATTAAGAGAGATTATTGTATGATAACGATAAATCAAATCTAAGTTCAACAAATCATTTGAATAGTGCCTAAATTTGAGCATTAGTAAAATGTCAAGCGAAAAATAATTTGTACCTTCTGTTAACGAAATTTAAATACATATAGCATATAATTATTTACTGAGCCAACAAATGGCATAAATAAATTATCATGAGTTGCAATGATGACGATGGTAATATTGATGACGAATTTCACGATTCATATGAAGAGAATTTAACTACTAACCGTGAGATTTTTATTACCTTTCATGTTCATCTGCCAAAAAACCTTGATGAAACTATGCGTCCTTCGGTGATTGGCAGTATTAAAGAGTTAGGAAATTGGAAAAGACCAGTTGTGGAATTGCATCAAACTGATTCCGAGTCTACATATTGGGTTTCAGATCCGGTCAAAATTTATGTAGGTGGTGAACAGCCTCAGTACAAATATGCATTTTACAAACCGCAAAAACTTCAAAACTGGGCTTCAAATAATCTTAGCAATCACGCAATTATAGTGGAAGGTGATTCATCAAAAGACAACCGTGAATTATCATATGAAGAAAATCAATATGATGTATGGAAAGCAAACCATATTATGAAGCTTTATAGTCCAAATCTTGATAATGACTTTAGATTTGTTAGTGTGATATATGAATCTGTAACTTTAGAAAATTTCACAAAAAAAGTTAAGGAGTTTCAAATGCTTTTAAAACATCATAATGCGCCGACTGTTCGAGAGATCAGTATAGATTCAATTCTTAGTTACCTTTTAATTGCAAGTAATAATTATCAGAAGATCTTAGCCTGCGTTATGTTGGCTTATCATATTGAGACTATTCAGAAACAAACTAATGCCTTCATAAAATTACGTGAAAATTTTCCTTCAGCCAATTTATTACAAGTGTTACAAGAAGTTCAAACAGACAATTTGCTACCTACAAGCGCTAAAACTTCATTTACTTTTCTAACTTCAACTTTAGTCCGACATAATTCATCAAAACGCAATTCATTTGATTGGATGAAAATGTTTTCTGTTGCATCGATTCTTGATTCAAACTATACTTTCTTATCTCATATTGTAAGGCATGAATATAAGAATGATAATGAGATACAGAATTTTTATAATTTACTCCAAAAGAACGTAAAGCCATATGTTGATAAAATTAATAAAATCACTAATTCATTAATTTACCATAAAGTTATAAAGGTATGTATTCTTAATACCATATTAATAACATCGCAATATAAGTTTTTAATATGAAATACATATAGACTATTATCACAATTTCTTTTTTTGGGATGAGGTCATGTGATTTTATAATTAACAAATTTATTGGAAAGGAAAATATTGATCGTGAGATCAGTGATTTCATGTGCGATAATTATATTAGCAAAAATGTCGATTTTAATAATCCGTATGAATTAGAACAAAATTTTAAATCTTTTACCAAAGATCTTTGTGATGTATGTTCACAAACGTTTCGTACTCTTATTTGCAACAATGAATTAGCGTGGAATCCCAAATACCTGGATTCATTATTTAGGCTGTTTCCTCAATTATTCACTGCAGAGCCAGAAACTTTACATATATTAGAATTGCTTTCCAAGTCGAAAAGTATTGGTTTGCTACAGGCATTTCCAAAATGGTTAAAATTCGTTTTAGATTCGAGAGATAATAAACAATTATTACACGAAAAGATTTCACCTCACTATGTGACATGGTACACAACCATAACCTCCACCACCAAAAGGAAAAATATTCACTTTATAATCTTCATGTATCAACAACTTTCGGCTATTTCATTTATTTTTAAAAAACGACCCAAGATTTATGAACAACAATTAGCAAAGATCATTGAAACGAGAATTGCCAACATATCAAGTCAATGGTTACTTCAATCAACATCATTTGTTGGCAGTTTCAATCTTGAAGATTATATTCTTAATGATTTCATGAAAATCTTTAAAGAAAAACTAAACCCGCATATTGGCACTATTGACGATATGCTAATTAAGACTATTAATAAGATATGCGATTCATCCGTCCAACCCTTGAATGTCCCTAACCGGTAAGTTAATCTTATTTACTTATTTCAGGTAAAACTGGTACCTATGAAGATAATGGATAAATTTCATTATTTTAATTTCCATAGATTATGTGAAAATGCGATCTGTTATATACTGGATGTAGTTCAGAGTAAAATCATGATGTCAGGAGAACTTAATAATGATGAACAGCAATTATCATTACTCAAAGCTTCTAAATACTGGTCATTTTTATTAAATGCTACTGGCGAGGTGAATGAACTTCAGGAACATCGACTAATGACTTATGTGCGTTTTCAGATTATTCAACTTGTTGATGCAATCAAAGATAAATCAATTAATATGGGATTACTTGAAACGTTAACTGAACTAAATAATGATGAATTAATCAACTATTTTAATTCAGGTGTTGGCTTTGATGTTGAGATTACTGATGTAATGTTAAATTTCCTTGGAAAAATCGCATGAACATTCAAAGATTGCCAAACATCTATTTTCTTTCTACTATAAATGGTGCGATAAGACTGATGATTGTTCTGATTACCTCAATGACCTTAGTGAAAAGATGGAATCATTAAAAGATGTATCGCTTGATAAATTTACTTTTCAAGATTATTGGTTGCCTCATAAAGTAATTATTGAAATCTGCCAAAAGATTCAACAATATAAAGATTCCCAAACTTTTGCAAACACGGTTAAAAATAACGTGAAAGATGAAGATTTACAATCAAATGTCTTGAATGTGGCCAAAATTTTTAGGGAAAACGTGATCGAGCAATATCAAAAAACTTGTGATAGTTACAAAAATTGGCAGAACATTAATTGTTTTGAGGCACGGAAATTTTGGAAAGATATTGCTAAGGAACAGATTAGGTATGAGCTTGAAATAATAACTGGTGACGCTTCATTGTATAAATCACATCAAAGGCAAAATGAACTAGTTGTTTCTATAGAATATTTGACTCTTATTCCATCTTACATTACGCGCTTTAAATGTCTTTCGCAAGTTCTTACCCAATTTAAAGTAAGGGATGCTGATAAAAGTTGGGTAATTGAAATGTTAAAAGATTTAGATGATGATGATATGAAATTGAATATGTTGCCCGATATGTTTCAAAAGCTTAATAAGCATTTAAATGAACTTGATGAATACACCTGGTCTGTTATTAAAGAACTTAATTTTACTAATGAATTTATCAAGTATTTGCTCGAAAATTTAATTGGGAGAGATCTAACAAATCTTATCAATGGTAAATATTCAATTTCATTGTATTAGTATTAGCTCAAACTATAACGATAAATTGTTTTCTCTCTTACTAATTAATACAGCTGATGTTGACGATAAATCGGATACAAAACTATTAGAAGAGAGCACCGTAGCCGCCTTAATAAAAGTCAACAAAGCATTAAATCCGTTAAATAAAGATGCTGCTAAATTATCGACTACTTCATTTTTAAAATGCTTGTCTGAAGTATCACAAAAAAGTCCTACACTCGCTGAAAAAATAAGGTCTTGCGGATCGCATAAATTGGCTTTACAGAATATGTATCGTAATATAGTCAAACGAGGTGAAGTTAATAAGGAACGAATTAAAAATGCCGCAACAATCGGTCTCTATATATTTGAACATAACGAACTATCGAATTCGTGTGAACTTACATTGAAATATGATACAACACAAAATCAACATAATGATTCACCTCGTGTTGCAGCATCTTATAATATAACGAAATTGCACGATCTCTGTAGTCGTGCACTATTGATTGGGAAATCTGGAGCCTCAGTTGATGATGATGGTACTGAAGATATTAATGTGCTAATGAATCAATTTATTATGCAAGTTGATTTAGCACAGCAAATCATCACAGTAGCTTCACGATTGATTCAATATGGACATTTTCTTTATCAAAAGATGCATGAAGAAGCTCATGGAACCCTCGACTTGCAAAAATTGTTAGACAAATTAACTAATGACATGGAAAAATGGGAAAAAATAATTGATAAAGCACAAAACGATCATTACTATTTAACCTTCTTTTCTGCACGTCATATTCTAGCCTTTTATGATTATTTT